TTTACCAGTGCTTTTTCCTTTCTCCCTCCTAATCTGAGGATGCGGGTATGCATGGTCTGGGGGAGACGCTGGGGCAGGGCACTGCAGAAGAGCAGGCTACCTGGGGCCCTAATACCCTTCTTGGTATTGAAGTGCCAGAAAGCACCAAAGATGACTGCTTCCCCAGGCCCCTGTGAGAACCTGTTTCTAGGTCTGGTGACCATAGCGTCATGCATCAGAAATTTGATGACAGGAGCTCAGGGAGAGCCCATCAGATTATTATTTTTTTAAAGCTTGTTTTATGTTATGTTTATTATGGAAAATTCAAACATACACAAAAGTAGAGGGACAGGTACAGTGATTCCTTGAGTACCTGCCACCAGCTCCAACAATTATCAGCATTCTGCTGGTCCTCTTTCAAATGAGGCTAATTCTAAAACACTTTTATTAATTCAATCCCTGGAAGCTAACAAGCAATTATGTTAATATAAAAACACACTTGTGTGCAACATTGAAGCAGCCATGGTTTAAAAAGAATGACAATACAACCAGCATCCAGCTACTGGTGGGACAGATCAGTGTCTGCTGAGGGTTTAGTCGGGGAGGCAAGTCCACAGGCCAGATGCTCAGGAAGCAGCATGGCCTGTTGGCAGTCCATGGATTTACTGACAGGTACATGCCCAGTGCTGTGCAGAGAGCAGTGGTGTGAGGTCAGCTTCTTTGTCTGTCTGTGGCCAGAGTGCTGTAAGGGAACGTGAGAAAGCAGAACCAAAATCTGTGTCTGCATCTGCAACTTCTCTGCAGAGGCTGGTTGTGCCGTGCAGTGGGGTGGAGAGAAGTGGGTGGCATGGGGCTACCAGATGCAGGAATTCGTGAAGGCATGACCAGGCAGAGAGAAGGTCAGAGGACTTGCAGGTTCTGGTTTGAGTGGTGGCACCTGTCTCTATCATGATGTCAGGTTGGGTCAGTTTCTCCCAGGACTGTGGGACACCTGGAGGATGCTCAGGGTCCCCCAGGGTGCTAGTATAGTGACCACAAGTGATCTCAGCCCATTGTCCGTGAGGGGTGCTAGTCAGGTGGCCATCCAGGGCCTGATGATTTTCTCATGGTTGTACTGGTGTGTTGGTTTTTAGCAGGAGACCTCAGAGGTGAAGTGATTGTCACATTGTGTCAAGGGCACATGTCAACACGACTGACTCATCACTGTCAGTGCTGGCATTGACCACCTGGCTGAGGTGGGATTGTCAGATTTCTCTCTACTGTATGGGCTTTCTGTTTTATCTTTTCCATTTCATGTGCTTTATGCTAAGCCAACACTTAGGGGGTGGGGTGTTTACCTTCTTAAGGGTGGAGTAGCTATGAATTATTTGGAATGCTCCCAACTTTTGCTTATGCATTATTTCTTATTCATTTTTAATCAATCATTGATTTATATCCACGTGGACTCATGTATATTTATTTCATATTCTGGGTTACAGTTAAATACCACTTTATATTATTGCTCAAATCGTTTCTGCTTTGGCCATTGGGACCCCTTTCAGTTGACTCATGTGTCCTTTGACACACCCCATCACAGTGTGTTTTTTGAAATTAATCTTATTTTTCAACATTTCTTTACCTCCTGGCACTACAAGTTGCTTCAACATCTGTTCCTTGAGCAGATATTTCCAAGTCCAAGAATTAGCTGTTTCTCCAGGGAGCCCTGGTTCCTCTTACTGGGGGATCATGTTAGAGACCAAGAACTGGGTTCTGGGTGACCTCGTTGCTACTGGGTAGCCTTTGCTTCTAGTTTCTCTCAGAAGACAGAGCTAGAGAATATATGTATATACCTATTTCTATAAACATTTGTATATGTACTCATCTGTGTCTGTGTTAAACCAAACATGAGCTTGTCCTGCCGTCTCAGAGTCTAGCCCATTAAACGTTTCCGTAACCTCCCCTCCCACAGCGGGGAGCTATCTCCGGTGATGTTTCCAGGTGGTATACAGGGAGTAGAAATGACCCAGGGTCTGCAGATGGGTCCTGGCTAACTAAGACCTGGTTGCCCGGGAGTCCCTTCTCCTTTCAGCTATCTGGCTAGGCTGGTCGTCCTCATGAAGGCTTCTCCAGGGTGTTTCCAGACGTTGGTTCTGAGTGCCCTTTTTAGGTTACCTCTTTGTCTCCATGATAAGCTCATTTGTTAGGCACTATACTTGCCACCAACCTGCCCATCTGTCAGATGGAAAGACTGAGGCACAGAGAGGGGGTGCAGGTAGAAGGCAGGGGTGGGGCAAGATTGGTCTCTGTGAGGATGCTTGAGCTCTTTTCCTCTCTCACAGCCCAGCACAGCCTGTGGCTGGGACGAGGGCTGGAGAGGATGTCCAGACTGGGAGACCAGCAGCCTGGGCCCACCCAGGGCCTGGCTGGTGTGGGCAGTATGTGGCCCTGGGCTACTGTGGCTGGAAGGTGGTTATGGTGGCATGTGGATGGGCTGGGCCACCTTCAAGGAGGACCAGGATTGATCTACTGTTTTGGGAGTGGCTGGCCAGCGGGATGGTGTGAGGGAGTTCACAGGGCACCTCTGCGTGGTACAGAGACAAAGGAGACGAGTGACCCCTTCTCGCTGTCTCCATGGCCTGCCACCTCATGTGGAAGGGCTCTGATGTACATGGGGAGCGTCGGTCATCTTGAGAAACTGACCTGCCAGCTGTTCTAGGCCCCCACCCCCATGGGCCTTCTGTCATATACTCGTAATCTGAGCCCATTGTGTTCCAGGAGGAAGCCGTGTGGGAGAAGAAGCCAAGATGTGGGAAATCTAAAGAGGAGGTTTTGTTCTTAATTCTAGTTTTTGTTCTAAGGGCAGGGGTCTGCTTGCCTTCACTTCTTTTAGAAGGTGGGTGGTGGCTACCTGTGCAGGCGCCTCTGTGGGCCTCACCAGCTCAGCTTTGCGAGGCTTCCTTCTCCGACCCAGACATCCATGGTGTTTCATGATTATGAGCACTGAACACATCCTATTTGTGGAAAAAGTCAAACCTAAATCATATCCGCTCCATGATGACAACTTCATAAAAAGCATTGAGAGAAAAGGTAAATGGCCAATGTTCAGGTCATAGTGGAGATTTTGAGGTCACCTTGATGATGGTTCAGGGTCCTGGGGGAACCATCCTATTGGATGTCTTGGCTTCTTTCTCTGGCTCCCTCAGAAATGACAGCCATTCCACAAATGGCTCACAGAGGCTGTGGTCAAGGTGGTGCCAGTCGGGAAGGATGGCTCACTCCCCTTGCAGTATGTGGTGTTTAAATGTCGTCAGCCCCACAGGGTCAGGTTGTGTGTGTCTGACGTGTCTGTGGGGTGTTGTGCTGGGTGAGAGTCTGATACCCCATGGAAGGTTTTAGACAGAGGACAGCTGTTCACTGGGGCCCCGCAGACTCTTGTCTCTCATTCTCCCTTCCTGCCACCTCATTAAGATTGGCTATAATGTCGTTTCTATGTTACTTGTGAACATTGGCAGCTTTCCAGCCTCCTGATAGACGTGTGAGGCCATCTCACATCCCTTGAATTTGAAGATGCCCAAATCTGTTTTCTCCCTTGGACCTTGCTCCCCGCAGCCCTGTCCTTGGTGGTCTCAGCTCTCCCACCTGTTCCCTGCCCCCAGCATCCATTCAGCGGCCAAGTGCTTCCGGGTCTCCCTCATCTGGAGGATCCCCTACTGTAGCTCATCCCCATCAGAGTGATGCACCCACCTTTCCCATCTCATGGGCCCGCCTCCTGGACTCTTCGGTGGCTCCCTCTGAGGGACAGCTACTCCGCCTGCCACCTTGTCTGTTTTTTGTTCTCTGTTTAATGGTGTGCAGCACACATTCATGTTCAGGGTGTGTGTTTGTGGTTAATGCACGTGGGGCAGCGACAACCAGAACCTGCTGGTGTCTGCTTCCTGGGGCAGAGGTAGAAATTCCCAGCCTCAGTCAGATGTAGAAATTCTCCAATTTTGCATCTGGCTGATGTACACTTGTTTTATACAAATGCTCATAAACTCCAATCCCACTTTGGAGCCCCTGGCAGGACATGCTGTAGTTTTGGGGGTTCGTGAGAGGTGCCTCTGTCCAGCCCATGGCCCAGTGGTCTGTGAGATGTAGGTACAGACCAGATGAGGAGACCTGGTGCGGGCAGCGACTGTGGAAAGGAACACTGGGTTGAGCTGGGACCGAGTTGCCTTGTCCAGAACCCGGAGTCTGCCTCTGCTGCTGTTTTTGGCTCCTTCTCTGACTGGCTCCTTCTCTGTGTCTCATCCATCAAAGTGGGGCAGCACTGAGGGGCCTTGCAGGACACCAGCCTCTGAACGCCGTGTTTCCCTGTCTTGTGCTGGTGCTCACTTCATAGCCAATATCCAATCAGCATCCTTTTTTTTTTTTGTCAGTTCTCCTTGTCTGACTCTTTCATGTTTATATTTTCTAAGTATATGGGTTTCCAGGGGCTACCATAACAAAGTGCCACAGACTGGGTGACTTAAAACAACAGAAACTTATTCTCTTACATTCTAGAGACTGGAAGTCTAAGATCAAGGTGTTGGTTTCTTCTGAGGCCTTTCTCCTTGGCTTGCACATGGCCACTTTCTCCCTGTGTCTTCACATGGTTGTCCCTCTGCATGTGTGTGTCCTAATCTCCCTTCTTATGAGGACACCCGTCTGATCAAATTAGTGCTCATCCTAACAGCCTCATTTACCCTAACAGCCTCATTTTAACTTAATTACCTCTTTAAAGATACTGTTTCCAAATACAGTCACATTCTGAGGTCCTGGGGGCTTGGACTTCAACATATGAATTTGGGGCAGGGGGGGATGTGCTTCAATCTTGACACTTGGCCTGGATACTCTTCCACGACCTGACATGCTGTCTCACATACCGCCTGCCCGGATGGGATGAGAGGCCCTGGGCAGCCGTGGCCGCTTGAGAGTTCCTGCTATGCTCTCTAGGCAGCCCAGGCACCTTCGGGTGGGTGGACAAGTCAGGCTCCACATACTGCATTCTTCTCTCCCCGCAGCTCGGCGCCAATGCCTTGCTCTTTGTTGGCGTGAACATGTATGGGGTCTTCGTGCGGATCCTGACTGAGCGCTCGCAGAGGAAGGCGTTCCTGCAGGCCCGGAGTTGCATCGAGGACCGGCTGAGGTTGGAGGATGAGAACGAGAAGCAGGTCAGTGGCCTTGGCCCATTAGCCAAGCAGAGGCGACTGTGGTGTCGTGAAGGTGGAGGGTGCCACCCTCTTCTCTCCTTCCTGAGCCTCCGTTTACCAGTGGTGACATGGGGCCACAAGTCCTAGGGTACTCATTGGTATTTGGGGCTGTGGAGGAGACACCTAGGTGTTCCAGGGATCAAAGGGATGGGCAGGTTGGTTTGCTGGCCTGTAGGGGCTGAGAGGCTTGTGAGCAATGGGAGGGTGCTAAGGTGGTGTCTCCAGGCACAGCCTTTGGGCATGTTGCCCTCTGGATGCAGCTGGGATAGATAGGTTCAACTGCCTGGGAAGGATGAGGCAGGCTGTGCCTCAGGTGAATGTGACCATGCATCTGACCCTGACCTTCTGGCCCTCAGCTCCCACCAGCCCTGTCCTTGGCTCAGCATGACTGACCCCAGAGCACAATGCCACTTTTGGGGAGTGGAGGTGCCCTGTGCCTGGAAGTTGTAGAGGGGTCACAGTGGTCATGATGCAGCACCCCACAGCCCGGCTGTGAGCACCCCCCTTAGGGTTCCTCCAAGGCAGTGTGACCATCAGCCTATTCTCGGGAAATAGCCACTCGGGAAAGAGCAGTGGCTTAGAGAGAGCCATACCTGGGTTCCCACCACCCTCTGTGTCTCATTTTCCATGTGTCCTTGTCTGCTGCTTGGGGCCCCACCCACATGGGCTGAGCCTCTGGGTGTGTTCTGGCACATTCCAGGCTCCTTGGCTGAGAGGATCCAGATTCTTCTCCTAGTCTGGGGGCTCAAACTGCTGATGGCTCAGACTTGTGTTTGTGGGTGCAGTGGGGCAGACAGGATCTACTTCTCAACTATGTTATACTTTTATTGGGAATAAAAGACATACTAATGATACATTTAAACACACACCTTACTTTTCATGTATAGCTACTGTAATGATCCCTAGTATTTATGATAAAAGTAGTATATAGTTGAGAAATAGATCATAAATGTAAGTTTAGGTCCTGCATATGTGGACATGTCTATGCGAATGGATATGTGGGAGATGATATGTGTCTGTATTTATAGTACGCATGCGTGTCTGCAGAGATGCTTGTTTGGATATGTACACAGTTGCCTTTGTCTGTTTACATGTGTGCACATGCAAGTATGTGAAGTTTCTATGTGCACCTGTGTTTGTGCATATATGTGCATGTCTCTGTCTGTGTGGTTCCCTGTGTATGACTGCGTTCATGTGGGTGTATGTGTCTGTGTGGGCATGCCTATATGTGGATGCCTGCATGTGGATGCCTGAGGCTATGTGGGGATACTTGTATATGTGTGCATGCACATTTGCTGATGTGTGTGTTATATGGATGTGTGTGTGTGTGTGTACAAATTGTGTATCTTCTGAGACTCCCCTGAGCATTTTCTCTTAGACCAAAATCAGCAACACTGGTAGAGACAGCTCCTTGGTACTTGCTAAGAGGTGTTTGACCTTATTTTATTACCTCCAAAGGATCCCAGAAGTGAATCTTTGGAAGTCCCGTTTTTCCCTAAAATGCATCCTCTGTGCTGGAGAAAGCAATGGCTTTTTTTGTGGACTGTGCTTGTGTGTATTTCTGGATCATCCTTTAATTTTCTTCCTTTCTCTCCCTTCCCATCTCCTTTTCCATTCCTTTCTTTCCCACTTCCTCTGTGTTTGTCTTTTTTCATTTCTTTTTTGACTTTTGCTACCCCTCCGATCGACTCTCTTTTCTCCCAGTGTTTTCTAGTCTAGCCTTTGCTGCTTGTCATGCATGATTTCACTTGGTTTTGTAGCAGCACTGTGAGCAGGGGATTATTTTCTCAGCTCTATGGATGAGGAAGTCCAGATTCAGAGAGGCTCAGAGACATGTCCAAGCTTTAACTGCAGAGCTGATATTCTTAAGCAGGAAATTTGCAAAATGGTAAATGTCACCCAATGCAGTCAATCCAACTGAATGCTTTTTTTTTTAGGTTTTGTCTTTATGTGCATTTTCCCCCACATAATTGTCATTTTGGTATACATATGATTTCATTTTCTGTGTTTTCACTTACCATTTTGCACAAAAACAGCCTCTTACATGATAAATGTGGTTTAAGACAGTTGCTTATTCTTCTTAATGCATGTTCTAGTGTTCTCAGCACCTGACATTTAGACAGCATATTCCTTTTTTTTTTTAAGAGATGAGGTCTTGCTATGTTTCCCAGGCTGGTTTCCAGCTCCAGGGCAAAAGCAATCCTTCTGTCTCAGTCTCCCAAAGTCCTGGGATTACAGGCATGAACCATGGCACCTGACCCTAGACATCTTGTTCTGAAAAAGTTTATTCTTTGTGCACACCTTTATTCATCAGACTTGAAGTATTTCCTCAGTTACATTTTCAGGAATGTAAATATGATGTCATTTATCGCCGAGGTTACTGGGTTATTTTCCAAAACTTTGCTCCTTTGTATCTTTGTAAGTAGTGTCTGATCACACTTGGCTCTCTATTGCAGTGGTTCTCTATGTGGGGCCAGTACCAACCACATTAGCAGTACTGGAGAGCCTGTTAGAAATGTAGATTGCCAAGCCCTGCCCAGCTCTATGGGCAGAAAAGCCCCTGGGAGGGGCCCAGCGAGGGTCAGGGTTCTGGTGAGCTGCCCCTCAGTGTCCAGTGTCTCTGTCTTTCCTTCTCTCTTCCTGTCTCTGTCTCTTCCTCTGTTTTCCTCCCTCTCTCTTTCTGTTAGGACTAGGCCTTTCCTGTTTACCCTGCCCCTTTCTGTTTACTAATGCTGATGACTACTCCTTCATGCTTGTTTACCTTCTGTTTTTCTTTGTGGTTTGTATGCTCCAACCCTCTGTCCAGTTATGTGAATTTTCTGGCAGTTGGGTGAGCAGCTCACTATATAACAGAGAGACCAATGCCTCATCAGAAGGGGTTCTCGTGTTTTGTCAAGTCTGTTCTTTTAGCTTTGCTTTTCTTTGTATAAAAATTCAATCTTTCACATTTTCAAATGGAAGAATCATTTTCCTTTGTGATGTCCTCTGTTGCTTCAAAGCCAAGTGAAGGTTTTGATACACGAGCACTGAATGACTTTTGTGAGTTCCCTGCGTTGATTCTGAGACCTCAGCAGTCCTGACTTCTGCTGTATGTTTTCTGCCATTTTCTTTGAGCCTGTGGGATTGTATCATGTGACAACCGTCTTCCTAGGTGTGCTGGTAACCAGGGCTCAGTTTTCTCCCTGCTGCCTGTTGGCTAATTTCAGTGCAGGGAGTCTTATCTCTTTGGGATGGAGCACCCAGCCCAGCGGGGCATTGCCAGCTCTCGGGACTCTTAGACACCATAGGCACTTGGTCCATCAGTGTCTGTTTGGGAACTGCCTGAGGATCCAGAGAGCCTGGAGGTGGCCATGGCAGCTCTGCCCAGGTCTCACCTGTGTTGGTATGAAACTGAGTTACAGATGAGGGACCCTCTACTGTATAGCTAGTCATGATCATCTGTGTTTCTGTTTCAATTCTATTAACAGCATACTTTCATTCAGTACCTGCTTTCAGAGTCTTCCCCAGCAGTACAAAAGGTGGTGGGACAGGATTTGGGGAATGTACCCCAGTTCTGTAGGGATCTGGGCAGATGCACCCTGATTTTGGGAGGAGATCCAGGGGGTCCTGGAAGTGGATCCAGGAGAACACACCTTCGTCCTTGGAAGTGGTTCAAGGGATGCACCTGAGTTCTCAGAGGGGACCTAGGGGGACACACCCCAGGTTTGGGAGTGATTCATGGTGGAGGCACCCCAGTCCTGGGAGAGATTCTGGGTACATGCACTCTAGTACTGGGAGTGGATCCAGGGAGACACAAGCTGGTCCTGGAAGGTGGTTCAAGGGATGCAACTCAGTCCTGGGAAGGCATTTAGGGGGACACACCCCAGTCCTGGGAAGAAGTCTAGGTAGATTCTTCTAGTTCTGGCAGGGGATTCAAGAGGACACAGCCTGGTCCTGTGAGGTAGTTCAGGGGATATGCCTCAGTTTTGGGAAGGATTCTGGTGTATACATCCCCTTTCTGGGGGGGATCTGGTTGCACACACCCCAGTTCTGACAGGGATTCTGGGTAGATGCTCCTTGGTCCTGGGAGAGATTCTGGGTGGATGCACCTCAGTCCTGGGAGAGGTCCTAGGGGAACACACCCCAGTTCTGGCAGGGATTCATGGTAGATGAATTATGGTGGAGGGATTCTGGGTGTATGCACCCTGGTCCTTGGAGGGGATTTAGGGATGACACACTGTAGTTCTGGAAGGGCTTCTGGGTGGATGCACCCTGGTCCTGGGAGGGGATTCAGGAGTCTTCAGCAGGAGGCGGTGGCATGCAAGGATGGGGGCTGAATGAGGGGAGGAGTGTGGGCAGAGACTGAGCCCAGAACTCCTGTCCATGTTGTGTGTGCTGAGACCACAGCACATTAAATGATTTCCCTCCACACAACATGGACAGGAAAGATAGCAAAGAAGATGACTTTGCTATGGGGGCTGGGGAGAGATGGGCAGGGCTGGCTCTTGAGTGTCTGTGTTCATGGGATGACCCTGACCACAATGGCAGGCACGTGCACTAGATTATGTTAGAGAGCAGCCCCTGACATTAGCAGGAAAGAAACGTAATGCACACATCTTGGGGCCAATGCACAGGTAAGAGCCTGGTGGCGGGGGAGAAGTTGGGCCGGGAGGAATTTGGTAGTGGTTTTATTTTATTTTTCTCTTTCTTCTTTGGGGATGAATGTGTTCTCCAGAGGCTAGGTGGTCTGAGCCTTCGTGAGCAGGGAGGATTGTGCTCTGTTCACAAACTAGGAGTTTGGCTCAGGAAACACAGAAAACACTTTCTGTGCGTGCTGGACAGGTCTGCGCCTTGTGGCCACTACTGACTGGGCCCGCAGGAGGGTAGAGCCAGGGACTACCATTCTGTAATGCAAATGCCCCACGTTAAAACCCCCTCCTCTTGTCCCAGCTGAACCCAGTTTTGTTCCTGGATGGAAGTTG